GTGTTTAATGCCTTTAGTAAAGTTGTACAAAGGCTTATTAGACAACTTCCTGCTTTGGAAAGATTGCTGGATGCCTTCAGCCAGGTAATTTTTTCTCAGTTTGGTCGTGTTAAGGGATTGAAAGCTAGTTTAAGTCAGTTTCTTTTCTGCAACGTTACTCTCAGGCATGCTTGGCGCTGCATTCAATATTTTTGTCATGTTGGCATGTGCATTAGTAATTATTAGAATTATGTAAGCGATAATGAGATAAGATGAATTTTTTCTGGTTAGGCATTATCTTGAATAGAAATGTATTAGGAAGTTTATTGTAATGATGATGTTTTTGAATAGCCAGTTTTTCACCTGAACGGTTTGCAGTAATTATTAAACCCGCCTTGCTCTGACTGGTAGTACTTCGTCTTTTTAATGCTTACTGTGCTTTACTAACGCTAAAAATCCTTTTTGGACATTTCTGGAATCGTTCAGGCCTCAAACATTGAGAAATCATTTCTTTTTGATGTTGCGAGCAAGATTTACATAGCGACAGATTCTTCCCCTGTAGAAATCGCGACTTATGAACTATGTTGCGACGTAGTGGACGTAGCTTTAGATATATCTGCTATTTACGGGTATTTTATTGTTACTTTTCTTTCAAATTCCTTACCAGATTTGGTTTTGCTTTTCTTTTTTATGAAAATCACATCTTTATTGAAACTATTCTTCGAGCTTAATCAATTCGTGGTTTTATAGTAATAGTTATGTTGCAGGTGTGGAGATGAAGACAAGCTTTTGTCAGCTTTTGATTCTAGTTCTACAGCAGTAATTAAGCTTCGTTCTAAACATGTTTTATATTTGAGACAAGTTTGTTTCAGGCTGCTTTTCTTTTTCTCATCGTTTTTTGTATAAATGAGTGCCAACAACTTAATTATTTCATTGCTTGTTCAGTGTTGATTAATCTTCTCTTTAATTCCTGGTTTTGAGTAAGGGACTTGGATAAAAATCAAAAAGTGTTTTCTCTTTTGTAACTTTGACCCTCCAAGAGAAGTAAATTTTAAAAGCAAAAAATTTTTTTTTGTAGTCTGCCTCCTATTGCAGGACCTAGTTTTTGTTATACTATAGTTGTGTGGTTCCCGAAAACTTCAGTAGTAATAAGTGTAGTTTAGGTCAATATGTTTCTTGCACTTGTTTGTATCTCAAGGATGGAACATTTCGAAAAGCAGGCACTAGTGGATTACAACTTTAAAATTCTGAAAGAAGTTGGTTTATTTATAATGCTTTCGCAACCACTTTTTT